ATCACGTTAATTCAAAATTAATAAATAAATGGCAGAATCGAATATAAGTAGATAGAAGTAAGTTCCAGGTATGATGTTTGATTATGGTAATATTCAATTATTTCGATAAAGTAACTTTCTATCGTAAAGTGTGATCTGTAGATGCTTTATTGTCTCCCTTGCAGCAACTCTTGCAATGATATTTTCTCCAATGTGCATTTCTCCTCCATTTCACTTATAGATTTTTTTTTTATTTAAAAACTTCCTGATATGTAAGGACCTTTTCAAAAAATTCGCTCCACACATATTAGAAATGCCAGATAAAANTTCTTACGAATGTGGGTTGGCTATTATAAAATTTTCGTTGTTAGCTTTGCTCAACAAAAATAAATTCCATTTGTCAAAAATTCATAACCTTTAATATATAGGAATTAATTCTGTCAGAGTTTAAGAATTAATCAATTCATTCTGTAGGAATAAATTATAATTTTAATTATGAATATACAGGACTTATTCAGAGCCAGCAAGCAAGGAGAAGAAAGAAAACCAGCGTTATAAATTATATCGTTAATATAAATTGAAGTATCGTTATGCGGATTTGCTCTGGATTTACTTGTAATGTTCAGTGTAATGAAAGTCAGCACCTGCTGAGGTATGGATCAGTTGATGTTTTACTGTTGTCAGTTTACTACTGTGTGTGCTAGCTTCCTCTGTAACTTTTCTAATGCAAGAAGATGGAATATTTTAGATTAGTGAGAAATAGGGAATTCAGCCCAAATCGGACCTCATATAGATTATTTCTTTCCTTAGCACCTTAGCATATCGTGTTGAAAGCCTTTACCTTTTTTTTACCTTTACTTTTTGTGTTCAGATTTAAATATATTAAGCTGTCATGGATTTGATTTAATTGTTATTCATTTTGTTCTTTATTCAACTTAATCATTCATGTAGATAAATTTTTCAAAGGTGTTAATTATTTATATCTCAGCACGTAACATCATCACACATTCTCTCTCAGTTTACAAAATACATACGCAAAAATAATTGTTTGCAAATGTACATATGTATAATTCATAGTCATATATTATGCGGATAATTCAGTTCATATTTGCGAACTTTCTTGGAATGAACTGTGAAGCAGTTCCCTCAAAATAAAGTAGAACTGTTTTCTTGTTAAGCAGCTGACTCGTAAATAGTACCGGATAAATTTTCGGAAACAGTAAAATCATCGAACGCACAAAAAAAAACGTTTCGTATCATATGTAACGGTGCTCAACGACCATAATTTTGCTCGCCTATTACTTTCGCGGCAAAAGACAATGTTTACCAGCCACGTGTGCTGAATAGAGCTGACTCGATCAGTAAATATCGGTAGTTTGGCAATTCTTGAATTAAAGAATTATAATTTATAAATTGTAAATCTGTTGTTTTTATTTCATTTTGTCGCTGCGTAGATACTTAGGTCTTTTTTATTGATTTTTTAAAGCTATACTTAGATTCGGATTTTTTAGATAAGAATGATGTTTGTGGTTGAATTCTATAGTTTTTTGCCTGATTGGATTTGATATCGGAAAAATGTTAAATGAAGGAATAATAAATTTGCTCGGCGCTTATTTTAATTATTGATTTACTTGCGTATCGAGCATGCTAGTGATATTAGTTTATTTTTATGAAATTTTTAAATCTGAAGCAAAAATTTTCCCGGGCATTTATTTAATATCACCGACTCAGATGAAATAAATTATGAAACGTTTAGTTTAACAGTGGATAAAAACACTAATTTTCCGTTAAAAAATTATTTGCTTCGATATTTAGCATACTAAATCACAAATTTCACTATTTTTCAACCAACAAAGAAGTTAATTATTATTTCAGATATACGTCATCTATGTTCGCATTGTAAAAACTTCCTTCTCGAAAAATATTTGTCGCCCGATCCTGTTATCGCGGGGAATTACAGTCATCAGCATCAATGTCCATGCCCGTGAAAAATTTAGCAGATTGGATTTGGCTTCAATAATATTTCTCTACGACCTACTGATCAGAATAATTCCTGAGTTGCTAAAATTTAATATTACTGAGAATGAAGTGGATTATTAATTTCGGCAGCTGTCGCTGGGAGGAATAGTATCCACACGCCTTGAATATTTCATTGTTACTCCATAAAATAATTACATGCGGCTCCTGAATAAATCAGGAAAAGCTTTACGAATTTGAATATGTTTAAATTCCATAATAAATTATCTATAATAGGAATATTTGAACATTAAGGCTGAGATGGTACTCACAAGTATGAGTAATTTTTATTGATATTAATGGAAATCTGTATATTCATGGGTCATTTGCAATCGAGTGAAATTGATGCTATTTAAAATGATATAGGTAATTTTTTTCAGGGGTGAAAACTGATGAAATTCAAGGACATCAAACACATAAGATTCAATAAAACGATTCATTTATTTTTTTGCGGAACCATATAGTTTCTTGGCACGGCTGTATGTACACGAAAATATCGATACAATAGCTATTGAAAAATTCCATTAATTATATAAAAACACTTATGAAACGAATAAGCTCCAACTATTAACAAGAAATATATCACTCGTTTGTTTCAGATTAGAAGAACGCGGAACATTCGCTACGTTATCTAAATAACATTTATGTACACCAATTAGCCTAAATTTTGCACACAACTCTAAATTTTGAAAATCTTTACAAGCGGAAGCATTTCCTCATGAATTTCTAAAAGACAAGAATTGAATGTGTCAAAAATACAGTAGTCGGCTCATAACATGTAAAAGCAAAATGCATGACTTTGAAAAACTGTCAACATGTGAATACGAGAAGCATTTACTAGACATTTGAATATTCAATAATAATGATTGAACAAAAATCAGTTATGGATTTCAAAATTAGAGCTACATCTTGGAATTCATTAATGTTTTTTTTTTTAATTCACAATGCCTAATAATTTTAATATTTTGATTGTATACAAAAATGTGAGATATCATAAATTGTGAATGTCATTTGGAGACCTGAAATTCATGGCAACATCTGTGAAATGAATATATTTTGTTTATCTATTATGAGAGTACTTAATTAATTAATATATTAATTTATTAACTAATTTGTCCAAATTAATCCATGAAGAGGTTTTATCGACAAGTTTATGTGTCATAGGTAAATGTAATTTTCACTTCATGACTAGACAGCATAAACATTCTAAACATCGCGATTGATTAGTAACGTGGAAGGTCGTAACTTAAAGTATAAACGTTGTGCCCTCAACATGCGCAGTATTAATTATATTATATGTAACGCATTTGGAGTTAAGTCTTTACAAGATTTAAACGCGTTTGGCTTAGAATCAAAATTTTGAAAATTTGCTACATTTAGTGGGGATTTTTTTTTCACTCAATAGTGGTCTTTGATTCACATATTTTTGGCGCGGCAAGATTTATTGAATTCTGATCTGAAATAAAACAATTACAAAAGAAATGAATTGAAAACATAAATTAAAACTTTATGAAGTATACATATATGATAAGAAAAAATTACATTGAAGATTGAGGAAAATTGATTTCCTCGTCATTAAACATTATGGAATAAATAAGCTGCGGTGATTTTCATAAATTCACAGAAAAATATTGAAGTTTCATTTTTCCTCATGATGACCTTTTTACCTTTTAACACGGTTTTTCATGCTGAAAAAAAATTGAATTGCTTTTCGATATCTCAAAAGTTTGACGCGCGTAGATTGCAAATGTCAATTCAATCGAAACGCGACTAGCAACGGAAAATGCCACAGTCAAAGGAAAATTCACTGCCACTACCAGCACAAAGCTTTGAATAATCCTTTGATATCGTTTGGAAAATAAATAAGCCATAGAGGATTATTCAGTCTACCGACCACACAGCATAGACAATTTTTAGTTCTATCATCGCAAAATTACTTTCGATGATGGTAACGCGACATGGATGGTAACGATAATTTAAGATGCATTTCATTTAGCACATTTAAGGAATTAATTAAATTAATGTAATAACTCTTTTTGAAGTGTTAAGAAAAGCGTTTTAAACATTTCAAAATAGCTTAAATACTATGTACTCCATTTAATAATAATAAATTATCATCCAGCTGAAAAGTGTAATAATAAAATCGCGTACCATGAAATGCGAACCTTTTTGCCTGAACTTCTTTTTTTTTACACATTTATACATCACGCTCAACATTCCTAAGGAATAGTTAATTACACTTACAGAGATTATAGCAACATTGAGCAGGACCGTATTAGTTCCATAACTTTTTGAATATCAAAAAGGTAGGCAGAAAATATTTTCTTCGTTGATTAACACATTCCTGATCCCACTGTTATTATAGTCGTCTCCAAGTGACAGAATTTTTTAGATGAATTTATTTCTCAGCGAAATCTAGTAGAAAATAATTTGATCTTAATGTGCCGTGCAGATTCATATCTTTCCGGCTGAACTTAAATCTTCCGAATGTCCCGATATTCTTTTGAGTTTGGCTGAAAATAATTTGGTCATTCCAGTCGTCAATTCTTTACGACATGTCAATTCTTCACGTCAATTTGACAACGCAATTGTAAACCTGACGAGTTATTTCCAATATTGAATTCCATCAGCAAAATACTGTCATTTTTTTGTAGAGCTATTACCGTGGCAACCAAAATCTGATGGATGGTGCAAATCTTAGTTTCAGAAATCCGATTGACTGACTTCTATCGACTGCACGGAAATATCTCGTCATTTGAATACACCAAAAAAATGACGCTTATTTTAAATTGTTCTCTGGCAGATGATTGAAGCCTCATATGAACCAGAAACGAATATGCCAAGTTTAGGGTTATCATAAATGGAAGAGAACAATTTTAATCCATGAATGCAAAATTAGAGCAAAAAAGCTTTCTGATTAAAACTAAAAGCAATTTTCACTCATTGCTTCAAACAAATAATATAGAAGCCGAATATGAATGAAATTTTGACATTTGTATCACAGATTTAAAACTTTACTTTCCAACCTATACATGTACTATATGATAAATATTTCAACCATGCGAAGATAGCAATTGTTTTAATTCAACTGTTAAGTTATGTTTTATAGATAAAGTAAAGAAGTTTTTAAAACTTCGGAGTCGATTGACATTTTTGCACCGGTCCCGCATAGAAATATCATCAATCTGCTTATAATTAACGAGTGCATTCATTTGCAATACTCACACTGGTGAGTTCTACTTATTTCGAAACAATGGAGAATCAGTTCACATTATTTTCGGGTGAAATACTGGGATTATTCTCGAAGGATGTACCGTTCATGTGATCCGATGGAGGCGGGATAATGTGCATGTCTAAATCAGAATCAATAGGAGATGAACTGCAGTTTGCCGGGGGTGGTAGCCTGGATACAATAGAAACATCAACAGGTGAAGTATCATCGTTACTTTCTCTTGATGTCGTTAATTGGTTGATGGTATCAACAACAGGCGAAGGAATTGATGCTTGATGTGCTAGAAGGTATTCTATGGATGATTGGATGTCAGGTGCAGGAGTCGATAAGCAACTTGAAATTGATGGGTTAATTGAACTAGCCAATGGGTTTCCATTGTTCTGTTCCGATCTGAATGCTTTTAATTGTTCTTGAAGCATTTTATATTCCTGCAGAAATTTGTAAAGCTGAGCCACGTGAAACTGAAGTAAATGTGCAGTATCTGGAGAAGCTGGAACACCGTGTTGGATCTGCTGCTGGTCGGATGTGCTGGTTTGTGGGCTTTCGGCGAAATGAACGACTCTGTTGAGCGAAAAGTGAAATATTAGTTAGAAAAGTTGTGCAATTACGACTCAAAATTATTCCAGGATGAGATTAAATTACTTGATACGAGTTTATTGAGATTTGGTCAGTCTATTAAAAACTAATTGGTTACAATTCACTCAATCTGTTCAGGGGGCCAGTTTCATTTAGATGATAATTTAGTTGGCACGCCAATGAAATTGTTGTAACATAATAGCTTCATATAAAATGACGTGGTTTAAAGATGTCAAATAAAAGATTCGGAGGGACAATCGAGTGCAATTTTTTACTATGCTCAAATTCGATTCTGCAATAAGTGCGCTACCTGATGGCATATATACAAATGTAAGTTTGCGAAAATTATTTGTGATTTAACACTTAAATGATTTGTCTACAAGTGAAAATATATTCAATGAGAAGTTCATTTAGGCATGTTTAAACCTCTAAAGTAATTAGAAACGTTCAAACACTTTATGTATCAGAAAACGTTGCAAAAACTAAAATTATAAATTAAGTTTGCCTGAACGTGACAGCGGAATAAATTTAAATTCATCCTTTATTTTAGAATGTTTGTATGTTGTGAACGTATCCTTAGTACAAGCAACACACCGGGTATAGAAAGCAGTATGCTTGTTTTACACAGAGTGTTGGAATCGTGATGTCTATAAAAGCGAGAACAAATTTAAAAAGTTTTATATCGTTCAATAAAAAATATTGTAATTTATTTCTAGAATAAATTCTATTAATCGTAGCATAAATATTGATGATAAAATAATATTGAATTCATATAATGTCGATAAAAGTCAATCGACTTCTATCTCTAGAAACATGAGGACGGTAACTTTGTTTTTAAACAATTTGGCGACAACCCAGTGGGCAAACTTTTCGTGCCATCTTAGTTGCGAAGAATGATACAAAATTGTATAGGATTTTTTATAAAATAATAAAAACTCTGATTAAATCATAACCGTTCTTCAAATGTCGTAAGGTCTCACTCCGCATTATTAAATTATTTCACAGAAGTGAAAAAGCATGGAAATAGGTAATAAATCAATAATATGCGTTTAAAAATTGCTTTTTAAAGACAACACTTTAAAAGACGTTTAAAAATTACTTTTTAAACATTTCTAAAGAGGCCGGTGACTTCTATGTTACACGTGTACCATGAATTTATTATTTTCTTTTCATAAATCAAAATTTTTTTTTATTTTCTCTTATATTAAATTTTTTATTATGAATTCTTCACTATTTCACTTGATCAAAGCATTGTCTCCAATTTTACGCAAGTGTGCAAAATTTCAGATCGATTCAGACGTGTGTTAAATATCGGTTATTAGATTTGTAGCAGACAAACAAACAACAAGAAGTGAAGTTAAAGAGAAGTATTGTAAAAACACCGCCTATTGTGTCTGATGAACTTATAAAGCTTCTTATTAATTATGACGCTCAAATATTTCCACAAATAATTTTGACTGTATCTGAATTTTCTCAAATTGCATTGATAGAAATCTCACCTCCGAGACGTGGTAGACGCTGCAGCTGCTGCTGTGAATGGCAGTTGAGTTGGTCTTGACTCGCAATTTGAAGAGGTAGAAGGCACAAAGTTTCCTTTAACTGAAGAAATGGAGGGCAAGGACGCTTGACAAAAAGCACCACTTTGATCTCTCGAGTCCATCATGAGATTTCCTTTCTTGCCGCTGACGTTTACGGATTTGCAGATGGTGGAGGGCGTCATGCTAGAGGAACCAGGCAGATTCAGCAAGTCCGGGAAACGAGGCGGATTTTGTAGAAATAAATTCGGAGCATTCATTTGGTTAAACTGATTTCCTAGAATCGCTTCTAAGTGTGTCAAGTCGATGACTTCTGCATTCATTGGCAGATACATGTTCGGAGCATTCACGTATGAAATTGGCGGCAATCTATTAATTTTCTTCGTGTCGCACGATTGAGCAGACATGTGATCTGAGGGATCATCTCTGCTTAAAGAACATCGTGGCATATCTTCATCTGATAAAGATGAACATTGCGTGTCTTGCCTGCACATTTGGTCAGAGCTTATAAACTGCACTGTTTGGGATAAGCTTTCCGATGAGCTGTCGGCATCAGCGTTGTCTCGCCCTCCCAATTCAACATTTACAAGCCTGTCTTTATTGGTTTCTATTCGTTTTCTTCTAAATCTGAAGGTTATTATAAGAACAATAACTAATATCATCCCTGATGCTCCAGCAATAACACCATAAATCCACTGTGGAAATACAGGCTTTATTTTCTTTGCAACAAACTGAACTTCACTCGCTTCTTCAGACACCTTCAACGTAAGATTAGTCTCAACTCGTCCTGCTTTATTTTCTGCAACACAACGGTAGGTTCCTTGGTCTTGGACAGCAGCTCCTTCTATTGTCAAGTTGGAAACTCTGGCTCCATCACCGGCAGTTCCCAGCTCCAAAACACTGTACTTTCTCTGTGCCTCCTCAGAGGCGTTCACTACAGCTTTCTCCCCTACTAACCAAGTGACCGGCGCTCCGTCGTCGGTTTCCACCTTGCAGGCTAATGTTACGTTGTCGCCGTGCGACGCAATAACCTTTTGAGCCACGGCCGTCAACAGCGGCACGCACACAAACTCATCTTCGTTTAAAGTCCTCCACTTTCGTCCCTTCAATCTCTCAGGACTCTCGCACTGAGGAGGAATGGAAGCAGGCACGTTTCTCTGCAAGAGCCACTGTCGCAGTAATCGCAGATGACAATTGCAGTTCCATGGATTGTTGTCGACGTGGAGCCCGTGGAGGACGGCCAACGGATGTAATACATTCACCGGCAAGGTTGTAAGTTTATTGAAAGAAAGCTTCAAATCTTCAAGTCTATTCAAGAAAGCGAATGCATTTTGATGCACAGAAGATATGTTGTTGTGAGATAAATCAAGTTTGACAAGTAGAGGTACTGACTTGAAAGCTTCTTCTGGAATTTTAGTTATTACGTTTCGTGCTATTAAAAGATTCCGTAATCCAGAAACGTCCGCTAAAGGATTAGATGGTATTGTCGATAGAAGATTATCACTTAGATCCAATTCAATCAGATTAGCCAAATGCCTGAAAGCACCATCGATAATGAGCTTCAATTTACAAAAATTTAGCCAAACTTTTTGAAGATTTACTAAGCCTGTGTCGAGGAAAGCGTCGTCTGGTAAAATCCCCAAATTGTTCTTTCGCAAGTCAAGAACTTGAGTTGAGGAGTCAAGACCGCGAGGAATATCAATAAAATCGGCACCTGGGCATGCGACCGTTTCTTTGCCGTCCCTCCACTTGCAGTGACACAGTTTAGGACACGCCGACTGTGTGCCCATGCAAAGCGATGCAATAACGCCCAAATATATGCACAGTCGATAGGAAAACTGCGCACTGGTGTTCGGCTTTAGTTTTGGTTGACACGTTATCATGTCGGATGACAATGGTGAGCCGAAGACCGCAGCAAAAATTCTCGTGGCATGATTTTGTGGCGTCAGACAACAGCTTTGGTGTGCTTTGGTTTAGAGCAAGAATTGTACTTGTATCACTGGTAATTTTCTGCAAAGAAAAAAAGAGATTAAAATTCATAAATAGTAAACCAATGTTTTTGAATAGCCTGGGAATAATATTTGAGTAACGGAGAAGCATTTTTTTCGAATCCCTAAAGGATGATAATACGAGAAAATTGAAAATATCATAGCGGAATTCAATTTGGAGAAATAATGATGAATTCTTTTTAAATTTGTGCATTAGTCTACTGGAGCAATGCGCATCATGTAAATTTGTGATTGGTATGATTTCGATTTGAGCATCAAAATACATTTTCTGAGCAGATACTTTGGTATATCTTGCTGCATCAAATGTTTATTTCAAAGATTCCAAAAAATTTCACGCGTACATTACCTTTCCAGAAAAGATTAGGCAACTATTGAATAGACACAAATATTTTTGAAGCCGTGTAATAGATATATGAAAAAATCAAACAAACATAACTAAATGATAAGTTTACATGCAATCTGTAACTTAAGCTGGTACAATATACACGCATTTAACACTTTAATTGAAACTGGACAAGAGTCGTCACCTTGAAGTGACAAGTAATTTCATGATTCTTTTCACGATTCAAAAGCTCAGATTGAGCATAATTTCCCTAACATGAATTGTCAAATACTAGTATTAATTGAAACTAAGAAACGATTTCTGACAAGATTCAGCTAGGCTGCGAATTTTATAAACTTTGTTTGGCATTATATATTTTATAGAAGGTAAGCTCATTTCATAATCGACAAAAAATCGTACAATTCAATTGAAGCTCTGCCATTGGAACATGACTTCCATCTAAGAAAAATAAAATTTGCAGAATTCGCTAAAAAATTTCTTATTACTGACAATGCTAAAATATATTACCTCGTATTTCAGATACAAATTTGTATGTAATTTGCATGGAGATATAATTTATAACAAACTGGTTCCAGTTTTTCTTTGCGTTAAAACTGCAATTAATCGTGTACTAGAATACTACTCGCAATATTTAAACATTCGTGCTTAATTTATTTGATAATGAACGCGAATGAAAAATTGGAACATATAACCGTTTCATTTATATTTTTAAAATATATGCGAGACCGTATGTGTTTATCTCGCCTGGTGACGGGAAACTAGTCGCCTGGTGGCGGGGAACCAGTCGCCTGGTGACGGGGAACCAGTCGCCTGGTGACGGGAAAATAGTCGCCTGGTGGCGGGGAACCAGTCGCCTGGTGACGGGAACCAGTCACCTGGTGACGGGGAACCAGTCACCTGGTGACGGGGAACCAGTCGCCTGGTGACGGGGAACCAGTCACCTGGCGACGGGAACCAGTCGCCTGGTGACGGGGAACCAGTCGCCTGGTGACGGGAACCAGTCGCCTGGTGACGGGGAACCAGTCGTCTGCTATCGAGGAACAATTCGCCTGGAGCAAAAATGCATCACCGCAATTCCGGTTGCAGTGCAAACAATGCCCGCGTTTTAATGGAAATCTTCCGGGTGAAGAGTTGTCTAAGCTCATGGGTAATGATTTGGGAGTGAATAAGAGGAATTTACTTTAACGACTGAGCGCTTAACCGAAACAACTTACTTAAATAAAAGCGTTCGGGTCACGAGTTATTTAGTTCCCTGGACAATTATTTCATCTGGAACAGCGAGTTCTAAACAAGATAAGTTGAGGGGTTAACAATTTATGCGTTTGAAACAAAAATGTCTTTCGTTGGTGAGAGAAATTAGTTTCTATTTTGAATAAAGAACGACGCATTCTTTGTTGATTTTGTTCTAAAAGCGAAAAACTCTTACTCAAATGGAAAACTCAATATGATGGACTGATTGAAGAAATGTACGTTTTTTAGTTGATGAAAACATCATGAGCAGACTTATGGCATTGGCTTCTTGAAAGATTATGCAGGTTTGAAAATTGTATAGCTTCTTCGAGCCATCGATCGCGGCTCGTTTTCGAAAAACTAATTGATCCCCGGAAAAATATCACCATAATTTAAAATTAATAGATAAATGTCAAAGCCGAATCTAAGTAGATAGAAGTAAATTCCAGGTATGATGTTTGATTATGGTAATATTCTAATTACTTCGATAAAGTAACTTTACATCGTAAACTGTAAAGTATGATCTGTAAAGTAAATTCTTTCTTGTCTCCCGTACAGCAACTCTTGTAATGATATTTTTTTCAATGTGCATTTCTCCTCCATCTCACTTATAGATTTTTTTTAAATTTATACACTACCTCATATTCGAGGACATTTTTCTAAATTTCCCTCCGCATATTAAAAAGGCCAGATAAATGAATCGAGAAGATAATAAATATTCTCTTTTATTAAACTAAATAGTTCCTTATGTATAAACTCCAACTTAAAAGATGGAATCAAACCGTTATTGACTAACGAAAAAAGTTCGAGCGTAATTTGAAAAAATTCCATGTTCATAGGATATTGATGCAAAGCCTTCAATTACTCATACAGCCGGAATGAATACGATTGCTTCTAATTATTGGTTTGCTCAGTGCAATTGTGACAATAGATTTTTTTTACTTGCTAGAGAATAAACTTTATATGAGATAAAATTGCTAATCAAAAACTCAGATTTGTTCAGAAGCTCATTCTCAATTCTGATTTCCTCAATTTAATGAGTTTCAAATAAGTATAAGGCTCATGATTTTAAAGAAAATAATCAATCAATGATTTCATCTTTTTGAAATAACAAATTTTATCCCCTCCATCTTATTAGATCATTTATTCAGTACGAGTGTTTTAGTAAGTATAAGTTCGCGTTGAATGCAGTAGACTATGAAAAATAGTGCATGATTATTCCACGATATGTAGAAATTTTGATATGAATAAACTATTTATTATGTTAAACATTACTTGCTCGATTTTTTAGTTTTATGTAGAATCCATATGCATCAGAAATATTGATGAAAATTTAATGAATAGACTATCTGTTGATGTTTAAGTATGAAAATTTTATTATGAACTTAATTTCTTCTCGTTAATAAAGGAAGGTAAAAATAATAATAAAGAAGGTAATAATGTAAGAAAAATTTTCACCTGTAAGTCAATAGCAACAGCCATGTTCTAATAAATAGAACTAATTTCAATACATTTGTTCGTCTATGAAGTTGCATATCGATTTTTCTTCGAAAGGAAAATTCACGTTTATTTTATTTTAGCATCAGGTAGATTCTAGAAATGTATAAACTAATTTCGCGTTCATGAACTGCATTTTTGATTTTCATCGCTCGACATCAATTTACCAAAACATTAGATAGAGAAATTAGAAAATTTTTGAGTTCAGAACAATATCTGCTGCTGGAACAAAAGGTCTATATGAAGTGCCTTGAGAAGCTCACCTTCATTTGGATGAAGTTTTCCCATATTTTATATATGGTAATATAGAATATGATAATATTTTGTATAGAATATGGTAATATTCTATATTCTATATTCATATTCGTGCCCAAGCAAGTTAAACTCAGGCGCAGATTGAGAAAAAACTGAAAAAAGCTTCTAAAAACATTGAAAGAAATAACGGCGAATAAACTCGTTCATTCAATATTATTTCATGAAGAAGCAAATTTATTTGACCTGTATTTAGTGCTGCAAAATTGTTTAAATGACTTCTTACGAATGTGGGTTGGTTGTTATAAAATTTTAGTTGTTAGCTTTACATTACAAAAATGAATTCCATTTGTCAAAAATTCATAACCTGTATTATATAGGAATTAATTCTGTCAGAGTTTAAGAATTAATCAATTCATTCTGTAGGAATAAATTATCATTTTAATTAAGAATATTCAGGACTTATTCAGAGCAAGCAAGCAAGGAGAAGAAAGAAAACCAGCATTATAAATTATTGAAGTATCGTTGTGCGGATTTGCTCTGGATTTACTTGTAATGTTCAGTGTAGTGAAAGTCAGCAACTGCTGAGGTATGGATCTGATGTTGTTTTACTGTTATGTCAGTTTACTACTGGTGAGCTAGCTTCCTGGATCACTTTTCTAACGCAATAAGATTTTAGATTAATGAGAAATAGTGAATTCAGTCCAAGAATCGGACCTCATGTAGATTATTTCTTTCCTTAGCACATCGTGTTGAAAGCTTTTACCTATCCTACCACTCTTGTGCTCCGATTTGTTCGATTAAATTTTTCGCTCCGATTAAATTTTTCAAACGAGCCAATTATTTATATTTCCGCACGTAACATCATTACATATTCCCTCTCAATTTACAAAAATACATACGCAAATATAATTGTTTGCAAATGTGCATATAATTCATATTTATATATTATGCATATAATACAGTTCATTTGGAAACTTTCTTCGTATTAATTGTGAAGCAGTTCCCTCAAAATAAAGTAGAACTTTTTTCTTGTCAAGCAGCTGACTCGTAAATAGTACCGGAGAAATTTCCGGGAACAGTAAAATCATAGAACGCACAAAAAAAAACGTTTCGCATCATATGTAACGTGTCTCAACGAACATAATTTTTCTCGCCTTATTACTGCCGCGGCAAAAGACAATGTTTACCAGCCACGTGTGCTGAATAGAGCTGACTCGATCAGTAAATATCGGTAGTTTGGCAATTCTTGAATTAAAGAATTATAATTTACTTTATGTACCTTGAATTGTTTGCTAGGAAGTTAATGAAGAACTATTTCAGAGAAGCGAATGCAAAAATACATATACTCGCCACATTTTTGGTTTTTCAAAAACTTGAAAAATAAAATTTTCAATGAACTTGATGCGTTTTACGAAAATAGGAATTTGTTAAGCATAAATTAGGGCGGGCTAACAAAATTTATCATTAGTAATAGTAAATTATTGCTGGGACATGCTGAAACAAAAAGTAAATGTTTAATATACACAAATACACAAATGAAAAAATGTTCAAACATTGTTCTGCATGGTTTTAAGAGAAAAAAAAAACTAAATGAAACAGCATCATTTTAAGGAGGCAGAGCGCTGAGCTCGAGTCTTCATCAAGCGATGAGGCTCAAGTTTTTTCTAA